CAGCTTCAATTTTGTGCATCTTAGATTCTGGGTATTCATAATTTGGAGTTTCAGATTCTGGGTTTATTAAAAGATTGGATTTTTAGCTTCTGGGTCTGTTAAAAAGATTGAATTTTTAATCTTGTAGCTCAATTGTAGATTCATACATACCATGAAAGGTTCCTGTGATGTGGTGTGTTGGTGGCTTCAATGAGAGAGTATAGCAACCATTGTGTTAATTTCTGAACTTACTGTGATTCTTCTCTAGGTGTTTAGATGGATGCAGAAACAGCGGTGGTATATCCCTGATAATGGAGTGTACTCGAAATTGATATCTGTAATGGGGAAAAAGGGTCAAACCCGGATGGCAATGTGGCTGTTTTCCGAGATGAAGAACAGTGGTTGTCGTCCTGATGCTTCGGTTTACAACGCTCTTATAACGGCTCATCTTCATACACGGGACAAGGCAAAAGCTCTGGAGAAAGCCCGTGGATACTTTGACAAAATGAAGGGGATGGAGAGGTGTCAACCAAATGTTGTGACTTATAATATCATGTTGAGGGCTTTTGCTCAATCGGGTAAAGTAGACCAAGTTAATGCTCTGTTTAAAGACTTGGATATTAGTGCAGTTTCTCCAGATGTCTACACCTTCAACGGTGTTATGGATGCGTATGGGAAAAAGGGGATGATCAAAGAGATGGAATCTGTGCTTACTCGTATGAGGAGTAATGAGTGTAAGCCAGATATTATCACCTTTAATTTGCTTATTGACTCGTATGGTAAGAAGCAAGAGTTTGAGAAGATGGAGCAGACTTTCAAGAGTTTGATGCGATCCAAGGAGAAGCCGACTCTGCCTACATTCAATTCAATGATAATAAACTACGGGAAAGCTCGTCTGAGGGAAAAGGCGGAATTGGTTTTCAAGAAGATGACTGAAATGAACTACACGCCGAGTTATATCACTTATGAGTGCATGATCATGATGTATGGTTATTGTGGCTCTGTTTCCAGAGCAAGGGAGATATTTGAGGAGGTTGCTGAATCTGAAAGCGTGTTAAAGGCGTCAACCCTCAATGCCATGCTTGATGTTTATTGTTTAAATGGTCTTCACATGGAAGCAGATAAGCTTTTCCATAACGCAAGTGATTTCCGGGTTCGTCCAGATGCATCGACGTATAAGTTTCTATATAAGGCATATACTAAGGCAGATATGAAGGAGCAAGTGCAGACGCTGATGAAGAAAATGGAGAAAGATGGAATTGTACCTAACAAGAGATTCTTCATGGAAGCCCTTGAAACTTTCGGGTCAAAACTACCTGGTTCAGATTCTGGAAACAGGAAATCAAATGGTTCGAGGAGACCGCAAAAAGACATTACTAAGGACTTGGTGGAAAAGACAGAAAACAGTTGACGGAATTCGCTGACCTTTTTCAAATCGACTCCTAGATAAAGATGTGAAGGTGAACAAAGTCTGCTTGATATGAATCTAACTGCATACACTCCAATGAGTTATCTTTCCCCTGAATCATGGTTTGTATTCTTCTTTTCTTTGATATGTGCTTATAGAGATGGTGACACAACTAGAGTTTCAGTTTCTATTCAGTGTAGTATTGTATCAATCGCCAATCGGTAATTTGTAACCGAAAAGTTTCATATATATATATATAAACAAAAGCTTCATTCTTGTGTGTTAATTCAGAAACTTCAAATTACCATAGAGATCAGACAAACACACATACATCTCGTTTTTGGAATTTGAAACTAAATACGTACAAGGGTACTACACCATAACACGTTGCAAACATCAGCTTTTAGACAATATAAGAATCTGAAAGCGTCTGAACCTTCGAAGCTTTTCAACTGTTTTCTTCTGCAAAATCAAATATTCCACATAAGAAAATAACTGTGGTTGTTTTTCATTAGAGGGAGCAAGAACTGAGAAATAGTGTGATCTAGTAGCTTACCGTTTATAGCTCCCATGTTGTGATCTTCTTTAAAGACACCCAAAGGAGAGCCATGCACAGAGAGCATCATCTCTCCAGGTTTTGGTTGCCTTCGAGTCTTTGGTGTCATTCCAAAAGAGAGTCTTTGCCCATTTACCTGCAAAATTTACAAGTATCATCGTAGAAACTCTGCTTTTGTATGCGCAAAATCAATCTTTGAAACAAACATTGCTCATTCTTCAACAGAGAATGTTAATGATAAGTTTCAAAACCACAGACTGATTTCTTTCTCTCTGGATCAAAGTACAAACAAAGAACCAAAGGAAAACACACTCCAATTACTTCATAGGTACATGACATCAAGACAGAAATAGGGTATACAATCATGAATACATACCTCAGGAGTCCGAAGAGCATCGTGGCTTGCAAGCATTCGGTTCTCTGATGTCCCCTGAAAGACCTAACATCCAGGGAGAGAATAGCAAACAAGAGTTTTATACGACTGTCCTCAAGTAGTTTTGCATAATTTTGGAATGCAGTAAGTAAAATTCAAGGTTGAAAAAAAAAAAAATTACGATTTAGTGCAAGCCTAACATTACTAAAACCAGTAAAGATGGTGTATTAATCAGTTTGGTTAAAGCCTACAAAAATTGACTAGAACAGATGACAAATTCACTCGGTTTTCTCCACTCATTCAAAACGGTGCTACATTCCTTAGTTCTTCTACAAGGCAAGAGCATATGCAAGATTCCAAGAACCACCATAAAAATGGAGGAAGACAAGATATAATAAACTTACAAGATTCTCGAGGTGTGGATTATCAGTTCCCAACAAGCTTGCTTTCACTACCAC